TATTTGGCCTGATTCTCCAGGAGACGTTCAGACTTCTTAGTTTACCCCTGTCTTCATCCAGCTCCTCGAACCAGCATTGACATTTCTGGTCTTCCCTGGCATTGTTCGGACCTTCATTTGTGGCCTCTGTCTCTGGAATCCATAGCTCATGCACCTGCACCTGCTGCACTCTGTTCCACCACTGAGAACAAGAGCTTCACTTACCCACCTCTTGGACTTGCTTCCTGTTACCTGGTACTTTCCTTTGCCCCTAGGCAGGCCTGTAGCAAACTTGCCAGTAAAACTGTGTGTGGTTTCCGCAGAGAAATTATATGTAGGCCTGTTCTATACAACAATGTGTTTGTCTCAGAAAGCATCCATGAAGAGTTATGGAGGGCATAGGCAGCTGGACTAGGACCCCGTCCAGCTTCCCACTGTAACTGGTGAGGCCTTAGGGACAGGCACATCTGCCTCTCCTTGCTTTCTCACTCTCTGACATTTAGATGAGAGGGTACACTGCACTTCAAGTCCAAAGAGAAACTAAGAGAGGCTGTCTGTCTTTGCTTACTGGATTCATTAACTTAAAGAAATGTATCCTGTTTACATTTCTGGCAGCATTTCTTTGATTTGGATGTTGGCCAAAGGCAAACAACCGGGCTGAGTGGGTTTTTAAAAAACAGCCTTCCAAATACACAAACGATGTCTGAGTGCACATTCAAAACCAGAAAGTGTCTTCGATCTAACTCTTTCATGCTGTAGGAAAACTAATCCTATTTACTAGCATTTGTGACTAACTTAGCTTTAGTATTTACTATAGAAAGATTTTAGGAATAACTGCTTTAAAAAGATTAGGTTTGATCAGGGACTAAACTAACACAATCTATTTGGAAATGAGATAACAGGATTTGCAGTTTTGGTCCTCATCCAGTAAAACCAAAAACTCCCCAAATTTACATCCCTAACAGACAGGGGATCTAGCCCTTGAGTCAGAGTTTAAATTATGGTATTAATAAATTGTCTTTAAAAAGCTCCTTAAACAGTTTAAAGTGTTACATTGTGCTAAGATGAAGTCATCAAGCTGCTTGAGACTGTAACTGTATATATTTGCACAACTGAATAAAATGTATGGTTATCAAAAAATTAAACCTTTTGTGACACTGCTAATAAGGTTATGTCCGTTGTTTTCTGGCTATTTTTTCCCCTTTTAGGTGTATATGAGATTTAGGCTTTTCTTGGCTTTCATATTTTAGGAAATTGGCCTTTTATTAGAAAAGACGGGGCAAAATGTCTTACTGTCATACACTTCTTATACTAGTATTTTGCTTTCAGACTCTAGCAGCTCTCATTAGTTCTGTGGAAGTAAGCACAGTGTTGCCAATGACCTTAAACTGCAGAGTGAGTTCACATCTCTCTCTAAAAAGGAAGAAAAGTGGACTTGGAACTTCAGCAGATGTCACAAAGTAGAAAACTTCCCTGGAACTTGCTTTAGGTTTCCAGAACAAAGTTGGCAAGCGGCAGTTTTTAACTCGAATAATTTAAATGGGCAAAAGAAAAACATCTTGTTTTGGGTTTTTTGTGGGGTTTTTTTGTTTTTGTTTTTGTTTTTGTTTTTTCCTTGCAAATGAAAAGGAAGATACTGACTCTGGGCTCCTGTTAACTGTTGTAATTCAAAGTTGATCTCAGTTTTGCCAGCTGCTTTGGATTTTGGAAAAGAGAGTAAGAAATCTTCCTTGTGGCTGGGGCAGTGAGTTGGGGCAGCTCCAACCTGCTTGGTGGTGTTGTGCAGAGGCAAGGCCAGCTGCATCGGGGAGGCTAGCTTTGTGTCTGTGCGCATTCATGCATGTGTGTGTTTTAAGCCAAACTCATGTTCACCCCCAGTCACTGGGGAAGGCCTAGTTTGTGCATTGTTGGAAGCAATCTTATTAAATGACCTTCAGGTTTCTGGGTCTGGTTTGGCCCCTTGCCTTTGTCTCTGATACACAAAATTTACACTCCTGAGGGATTGTGAATTTAACAAGGGTGCGGTCACACTGTTTGTGAAGCTAAACTCTAGTCATGGCACCTGAAGAGGTACACTGTAGGTAAGATGCAGTTTACTGCGCTGGAAAACAGTGGTCACCTGGACACGGTAGACCTGCTTGCCACCAGCTAGGCAGTTTCCTTCCCATAACACCATTATTTAGGCTGTTTCTTCATGCCCTTGATGTCAGGTGGAGGCTGAAGTCCTGCCCCAACTTTCTTAACACAACAGGGCTTGTATACCCAGATAACAGGGACCCTTCTGTAGGGGACAAAAAGGCCAAGACTCTTTGCCCGAGACCTCCCCACACATACTTCTGTGCTACCTTCTACTTGTTCTAATAATCTTTATTGTGCATAATGGGAAAATAGAAATCATCTTTGTTTCTCAAATCTTTGGCCTCTCATTCTTTGGGAAGACAGGAGATTGGTGAAATCAAAGGTAGTGGGAGATGGGAAGGTCCGAGGCAGCAGTCAGCGTGAGGAGCAGGGGAAGAGGAGTATGGAGGAGAGATTGGAATCACCATCCTCTGGATGGGTTCTGACTCACTGTTCCTTGCATTGACACAAGTGCACACTGACAAAAGCTCAGCCAGATCTTACCAGTCCTCACCTCTTCCAGCTGTCTCTTTTCCTTTGACATCTAGTAACCTGCCATTTCCATGCCATGTAGTTGAAACATGTGTTGCTGTGATTTCTGGGTAAGTTTTTTTTTTAACTTTTTATTTTGAAATAATTATAGGTTCACAGGAAGTTGCAAAGATAGCATGGGGAGGGATCACCCAGCTTTCCCAGTTGTTACAGTATGCATAATTTCAGCATAATATCAAAGCCAGGAAATGACATTGGTACAGTATGTGTGATGGGATGGTCCTATAGTTTTGTGTAACCATCACAGTCGAGACCACAGACATTTTATGCTGCCCTTTCAGTCAGTCCCACTGCTTTCTATCATTAATCCCTAGCAACTCCTGATCCGTTGTCCATCCCTATAATCTTATCACTTCAAGAATATTATACACAGAAACAGATTGTGACCTTTTTTCCAATTATTTATTTATTTATTTGGTATAGGGTCTTGCTATACAGCTCAGACTCATAGTGATCCTCCTGTCTCAACCTCTATAGCGCTAGGCTTATAGGCATGTGACACCACGCTCAGTTTCCGTGACCAGCTCAGCCCAGGGCCAGCACAGCATGCAGTACCAAGGATTGAACTTGGGTCTTTGCACTTGCTAGGCAGGCACTTAGACCGCCAAGCTATCTCCCTGACCTGGTTGTGACCTTTTGAGATACATTTCTTTCAGTGATCCTAATGTTCCCCAGGTTGCTACATGTCAGTAGTTCAGGTTCATTCATTTCGTTTGTAACTGCTGAGCCCCTTCTGATGGGGACAAAAACGCCAAGACTCGGTCAGAGACCTCCCCCCACACATCTATGCTACCTTCTACATGTTCTAATAATCTTTGTAGGGCTGGGGAGATAGCTCAGTGACTTAAGTGCCTGCCTGCAAGCACAAGGTCCTGAGTTCGATCCCCAGTACCAAAAAAAAAAACTAATAATCTTTGTTGTGCATAATGGGGAGAATAGGAATTATCTTTGTTTCACTGAGTTCTCAAATCTTTGGTCTCTCATTCTTTGGGAATTCAGGAGATTGGTAAAATCAAAGATAGTGGGAGGGGACCGGGGAGATGGCTCAGTGGAATAAGCTTCTTCCCTGTCCCTGGTTCCGAAAAAAAAAGATGGTGGGAAGGTCCAAGGCAGCAGTCAGAATGCCCCCAGCCTTATCCATTCCTTTAATACTGAGTAATGTTCCATGATATGAGTAAGTGTTCCACAGTTTGTTCCCTCATGTAGGACTCTGCATCCAGCTATTGTGAACATTGTTAGATAGGTTTTGTGTGAACTTTGGTTATCATTTCTTTGGGACAGGCACCTAGGAGTGAAGTTGCCTGGTTGTAGATGAGTGTACATCTAGCTCTGTACAAGTTTCCACCACTGCCAGTGTTGTGTGAGAATTGTAGCTGTCCTGTATCCTCGCTGCCTCTTGGTAATGCTGTGGTCTTTTTACTCCATTGCAAATGACCATCCTTCACCTGCTGATGTGCTGTCTACGTGTGTCTTCCAATAACATTCTTAGCATGTCCTTGGCCCATTTTCTAGCTGGATTGTTTGTTTTTGTAACTATTGAATTTAGAATGTTCTTTATATATTCAGTACATGAGTCCTTGTCAAATATGTGGGTGGCAGACTTGCTTGCTGCCCAGAGAGGAAGTTTCCCTACCTTAACACTCTTATTTAGGCAGCTTCTACATCCCTTTGACCTGTCTGTGAGGTTAGAAAAGAGCAGAGAATGCCAACTTTATTTTTAACAGTGAGGAAAGAAGCAAAAGAAAGGGAAATGGTTTCTCGTAGCCACAAGCAGGGGTGGCATTAGGCTGAGAACAGACTGTCATGACTTGTGGGCTGGCTCAGCTCCTGTCCTGGTTTGTCTGATCCTGTCTTGTGGCTGTGATGGCCTGTGTACACATTTCCCCGCAGATTTTAAGTGGGGACAGTCAGCAGTATCCTTCTAGGAGCTGCAGGTTCAGGGGTGGTGCTACAAACAGCACTAGTCATTGTTGTTTTAGTTGTTCTCAGACCATTGTCTTTTATATAGTGTGGCTCATTTTCCAGTGAAATTTGCTGTGTTGTGCCTCCTCCCCCTTAGCTGGCCTCTTTCCAGTGCTTTTTATACAAGCAGAGGGAAAAGCCAGCACAAGTGTGTGTGTGTATGTGTGCGCGCATGTGTACACACATGTGCATGAGTCCATAAGGTTGTGGTCCTAGGAGTTCAGGCATTCAGGCCAGGACAAAACAAACTGTGAGATGAGTTCTGGGTGCAAACTTTGACAGCTTGTGAGTGCTGTGTTCTATGACAGCCAGTACCTGTATGGAGGTTCTTGTTCATGAGTTCATCTCAGAGCACAATTAAATCTTTTTTCCCTTCCCTCATTTCCTAGGGCTCAAGAGTGCTTGTTGATGCACGAGACAAGCTTGGCATTCCTTGGCAGCACTCTGAAAATGAAAAGCATGGGATGTTCCTGATGGCCTTTGAGAATAAAGCAGGGCTTCCTGTAGAACCTGCCACCTTCCAACTCTACGTGCCAGCTCTGAGCGCGCTCTGGGGGGACTCTGGGATCCGGGAGGCTTTCAGCCGAAGGAGTGAGTTCCAACTGGTAAGTGAACCTCCTGCTTTTACCTTTTTTTTTTTTTTTTTTTTGAGACAGGCTGTCACTAAGTTGTCCAGGCTGGACTCTAAACTTGCCATCCTCCTCCTTCTACCTCCAGAGTGCTGAGATTATGACTGTGCACCCAGGCCTAGCTTAAATAATTATGTTGCACTTTAATAGAATTTCCTCGAAAATGGTAAAACCATATGCAAACTGTGTGTTGCTATAGGTCATATCACCGGGTATAGTAGCATCTCCAAATGTGGTAGCACACACCTATAATCCCAACACTCACGAGGCTCTATAGATAGTCTGCTGATCATCCTTCCAGTTCAGTTTCCCACAACACTAACATTTTACCCACCTAAAACAGTGATCAAGATGAAATTATGGGTACAATACAATTAATCTACTCCCAACTTTTAAAAATCTTAACCTGTTTTTGCCTCTGATGTCCCTGTTGTGGAAGGAACCAGCCCTAAGACCCCCATTGTGGAAAGTTGTCTGTCCCCTTGGTCTCCTTTGATTTTTGTGACAGCTTTTCAGTCTCTCCTTATCTTTCATGACCTGGACATGTAGGGATCGCTGGCCAGTTATTTTGCAGAAGTCTGTGTCTGGGTCTTTCTACTGTTTTATCATTACCAGAGTGAGGCAGTGCATTATTTGGCAAGAAAACAACAGAAATAACACTGCCCCAAGCCCCGAGCATCCTGCAAAGTGGTACATGGTGTGGACAAGTCCAGCTGCTGGTGCTATGAGCCTTGGTTCTTTGGTCAAGGCAGTGCCTGCCAGCTATCTCCCCTGGAAAGCTGCTATTATTTTTCTATATTATTGATAAAAATCTTAAGGAGATACTTTGACACCATGCATATATTCTGTTTCCTCTTTAAGATTTTACCTACTAATTTTATTTTTAGTGTATTTTTATTGGTACATTTCAGATACGTATTATGGCATTCCTCATACGGAATTTGTACTTCTACATGGTATATCTTACTGCTTCTTTTTTTTTTTTTCCCCATTCCCCTCCCCTCCCTTCAATCCCTGTTCCCCTCCTTATTTACAAAAGCTCAGTTTCTAGTTTTTTTGTTCCATTCTTTTTTTGTCTCTTCCTTCCTTTCCCTCTTCCCCATCTTTTGTTCCCCTTCTCATTGAATATTTTCATCCCATTTCCCAATATCTATTACACATTTAGCCCTTATCTACACTTTCAGTTTCTCATACCAGAGAAACAATGAGAAATTTAAACATGTGCGTCCAATTCATTTCACTTAAGAGTATGGTCTCATGGTGCATCCATTTACTTAGAAATGTCTCAAGCTTATCTTTCTTTATGGCAGAGTAGTAAATATCTCATTGTATTAAAACATCCACATCTTCTTTATTCATTCATCATTTGATAGGCATTTGGCTGTTTCCAAGATGTAGCTATTACAAACTATGCTGCTCTAAAGATGAATGTGCATATATTGCTGTGGTATATATAATGCTTTTAATTCTTTCAAGGAGATACCAAGAAGGAAAATAACTAGGTCAAATGGAACCTCTAGTTTTAGTTTTTTGAGGAATCTCCACACTGACTTCCACAGTGGTTGCACTAGTCTATACTCCTACCAACTGTGGAGAAGGGTTCCTTTTTCCACAGGCTTGCCAGCATTTGTTACTGATTGATTTCTTTTCTTTTCTTTTCTTTTCTTTTCTTTTCTTTTTTTTTCTTTTCTTTTCTTTTTTTTTTTCAATACCAGGGATCAAACTCAGGACCTCGTGCTTGCCAGGCAGGCATTTATGCTGCCGAGCTATATCCCCAGCTCCTATGGTTGATTTCTTAATAGCCATTCTTTCCAGAGTGAAATAGAATCTCAATATTGTTTTAATTTACATCTCTTTTTTTCTTTTTTGCATTACCGGGGATTGAACTCATGACCCTGCGTTTGCCAGGCAAGCACTTATTCTACTGAGCTATCTCCCTGGCCCCCTAATTTATATCTCTTAAATGACCAGTGATGTTAAACATTTTTTCATACATTTATTTGTCATTTCTACTAATTCATCTGAGAAGTATCTGTTCATTTCAGTTTCCTGGTTTTGGATTGAATCTTTAAATTGGGAGGGGGTCTGATTTTTTTTTTTTTCAGTTCTTTACATATTCTAGATGTTAGTCCTTTATCTGAGGACCAGCTGGCAAAACTTCTCCCACACTGTGAGTTACCTCTTCACTCTGTTAATAGTTTCTTTTGCCGTCCAAAAGCTTTTTCATAAGATTAGACCGCAGTTGTTGATTCTGCGTGATAGTTCCTGTGCTACTGGGGTTTTGGTCTTAGAAGATTCTTCCTGCCTATACCAAAGTCTTCAAGAGTTCTGCTTGTTCTATATTACAGCAGATTTAGTATTTCTGTTTTAATATTTAGATCTTTGACCCATTTTAGTTTGAGTTTAGTGCATGATGAAAGATATCTAATATTAATTTTCAGCATGTGGCTAGCCAGTTTTCCCACAACCATTTATTAAAGAGGCTATTTTATCTTAGTGAAGATGTTTGGTTCCCTTGTCCAAGATGAGGTAGTTTGGAGTTGCTTCTGCATTTTCTAATCTGTTTTGTTGACCCTCAATCCTACTTTTTTGCCAGTACTGTGCTGTTTTTATCACATACCTGTGTAGTATAATTTCAAGTTAGGAATTATGATGTCCTCTGCCTTGCCTTTGTTGCTCAGAATTGTTTTTGCTGTTCTAGATCTCTTCTGATACTGATTTCAGATTGTCTGGTACTATTTGAACAGATATTTAGAAAAAAAAATCTCAATTAAAAAAACAAATTTTAGGATTGTTTTCTCTAATTCTGTGAGATATGCTATTACTATTTTAATTGGGATTGCATTAAATCTGCATAACAGTTTGGAAATTTTCACTATATTAGTTCTTCCTGCCCAAGAACAAGGGTTATCTTTCATTTTCATTGACTCCGGTCAGGCCTGTTATTCTTTGCAGCATCAGCTGTTGGATTGCTTTTTCATAATCTCTTGGTTTTTTGTTTTGCAGAACCAAGGATTGAACTCAGGCCCTTGAGCTTGCCAGGGAATTGCTTATTCTACTGAGCCATCTCCCCGGCCCTCCCTTGTTATTTTTAAAAAATCTTTCTTTTCGTGATCACTAACCACAATCCTACCTTCTAGATCTGATATTCTGACCTCATATTGACTCATTCTGCTGTGTATACTTTGAATGGAATTGTTAATCTCCTGGATATCTGTTTGAATGTGTTTCATGGATTCCATTTCTTGTCTGTGTTGGGCATTCATGGTTTCTATCATTTTCCTGCCTTTGTGACTTCCACTATTACCACTTCAGAGAATCCAGGTGGGTGGCTTTCAAATTGTTCTGCCTCGTTGCCCCCTGGGTCTGTCTTTGGTGAACTGGAAGTCTGGCATTACATATTGCTTCAGTGTCCTCTGTGTTTCTTTATGTTATTTATTTGGTTTTTAGTTTAATTTCTGGGTTGATACTTACGAAGTGCTTATGAAAAGTTGTTTTATTTCTAATATTTAGAACCCTTAGGAAATGACTACTTTTCAGAGATGTTTTTAAGGTATAGCTGGCTTTGGGGTTTTGAGTCTGTTGCAAGATCCTGTCTCTTCAATTTTGGTGGGATGAGAAGTTGCTATCTTTTTGTCTTCCTCCTGGTTCTTTGGCACTGGCCTATAGTACTGTTTATGACCCTTAGTCAATATCAGTCTTTCAATGATACCAAGAAGAACAGCTGATGAGACGATTATGTCACCTTGGCTAAGCTATATAGTCAACAATAACAGTAGCATTGAACACAGACTGGACGATGCCAAAACTGTGGTAACTATCAATTTGTCACCTTTTTTTTTTTTTTGTCACCTTTAATCATATGAAATATATATGTGGTTATATTACAAAATCTAAGACATAATAGAAAATTGTATACAGTAAATATGCCCTCAATATGTCAGTTTTACTGTCAAAAAAGAAAATTTTAAAGAGGCACTTGCCTGGCAAGCATGAGATCCTCCTGACTTTGATTCCCAGTACCTGCAAAAATAGTAAGAACAACAACAGCAATAACAACAGCAACAATAAAACTTCAAACAATGTTCATATCCATATAAAAAGAACAATCAAGAAAATAATGAGACAAAAACAAAAAAGAAAACAATGTCCACTTCAGGGCATGTCTCTGCTGTCACTAGTAGACAGTGGGAAACTGCCCAAATCCATGGTGACAAATCCCAGCAAGCCAGCTATGGATTTACAGCAGGGGAGTAGATAATCCCAGCAAGCCTGCACCTTTAGTTCCACTGTAATGCCTGCTGCTTTCTGGCTGTGAGGCTGGAACCTGATTTGTTTAGCCTGCTACACCTCTGTAAACTGTGTATCTCCTGCCAGCTTGAACCCAGTTCAGTCACACCTTGACTCTTGAGAGATGCCTGATAGAGTCAGCCCACACCTACTCTGAATTTTGAGCTTAGTTCACCTTTCTCCAAGATGGCTGCTGGCCAATCTCTCTCCTAGAGGTCACCTCAACCCAAATAACTCAACAGTTACTGCATTCCACTACATCCAGTGCTCCACTCCACTGGTGCCTTTCTCTGTGGAGGCCTCTGGAGTTGCCAGTAGTTACTGTGCATCTACAGGTTCAAGCCACCCCTTCCATGTAGTATGTCAAGGCTCAAGGAGAAAGTGCTGCTTGCTACCTCCTCCTTCTGCATTGAGGTCTCTCTCTGTGGGCTTCAGTTCTAATCTCAGATCCTTGCTGGGTCCCAAGGACCCACTTCCCTACTTCTTCTATTCCTCACATTGCTGTATTCAAGCCTCTGGACACCAAGTCTTGGAGAGGCTGTTTCTCTGTTGCTCACCATTCTGCCATCTTCCCAGAAGCCCCCTCCACACTAATTTTAATATCTAGGACTGGAAAGATAGCTGGGTGCTCTGAGTACTACCTGGCAAGCCCAAGGACCTGGGTTAGCTCCCCAGTACCGCATGCC